CAGGCCCCCCCCCCCTGAATTCCTGGCACCCCTTCTCCAAGACCCAGGCAGACCCGGTGCCCTCTACGCAGACCATGGGGCTGCTGAGAGTCACAAGCCACAAACTCCTTTCCCACCAGTGAGATGCCCCGGCCCTCCCCAGCCCTGGGGCTGTATCAGAACCAGCGACCCCTAGAGGGGCAGGGCCTTGTGTCCCATCCCCAGCCCTGAGCCGGGCTGAGATTAGATGGGGGCGGGGGAGGCTGGGGGTCAGGACTCCTGGGTTCTATCTCCTGCTCCCTGGCCCCAGGGTCAGGCCTGGCTGGGAACCGGAGACTCCCAAGGAACTGGAGGCCGGGAGGAGGAGGCTGGGTGGGAAAGGCCGTTATCAGCTTCAGTGTCCTCATCCGCCTTCCTCCTGCCTGCCAGGAGATGGCAGCAAACCTGGGTGAGCCCGCCTGAGGGAGGATGGCTGGCCCAGACACTCCCGCCCTGGGCATTGCTCCGGTCTCAGCTGGCAGGAGCCAGGAGGTATCGGGTGGGGAACTGCCTGGCCTGGCAGGATGAGTGGGGAGAGGATGGCAGGTCTGTGTCCATCTGTCCTGCCTCCTAGATCCCAGACATGGGCCGAGCTGAGGTGCCCCCCGGGTCTTGGGGGGCATGTGGAGTTGGGGAAGGTCTAGTCCCACTGTAACCACTAGACCTCCCTCCTCCAGCCTCACTGCTTTAACCACTAGATCCCTCTCCCCTCCCACAGCCAGAGACGGAGCCCGGGAGCCCTGATCCTTGCTGCTTCCGTGTCAGGCCCTGGCAGCTTTAGCGAAGCCAGGGACTCAGGCCACGACGCTGACCAGGCCATCATGACGGCTGCCATGCTCTAAGGTCCCAGAGCATGGCCTAGGAGGGGCTCAGGAGCTTTGGCCTCAGTTCCCGGCTCTGCCACCAACTTCCCTGAGTGACCTTGGCTCAGTCCCTCTGCATTGCAGGTTCCCTTTGCCTGGTTTGATGGGAGTTCTTTGGGCAAGGACCGACCCTCACTGTGTGTCTGAGCAGCGCCTGGCTCAACGGGGCCCTAATGTCAGCCTGGGTGTGGGCAGCACCTGGCACAACAGGGCCCTGATCCCAGCGGGCTCTGGGCAGCACCTGGCACAACAGGGCCCTGATCTCAGCCAGGGCCCAGACTGTCTCTCACTGTGTCTGGGCAGTGCCTCGTGTAATGTGGACAAGATCTCAGCTGGGCCTCCAGGTTCTAATATTTTTTAAAACAATAACTGCAACAGATTCAGGTCAGGGAGGTTTTAGAACCAATGTTTTCCAGCATTAATAATTATGAACTAATTAACACTGTCATCAAGCCTCATGACATCCCTGTGATGGTTACAGAGGGGGAAACGGACACGCAGAACAGGGAAGAGTCCTGCCCAATTTCGCACAGTGTGTCTGTGAAGAGACACAGGGATCTCCACTCCCAGCCTTCCTGTTTTAATGCAGTGGGCACCACTACGCTCCCAGAGATGGGGACAGACTGCACCTGGCACGACAGGGCCCTGATCCCAGCGGGCTCTGGGCAGCGCCTGGCATGACAGGGCCCTGATCCCAGCAGGCTCTGGGCAGCGCCTGGCACGACGGCGCCCTGATCTCAGTTCTCATTTGCCCCCCGTCTGGGGAGACACTGCTGGGCTCTGGCTTTACATGATCACTTGTACCTTGTAGCCATGTGCTGCGAGCTGGGCAGCTGGGCTGGGACCCGTCTAACCCCCCTTGCAGTCTCCAGCTGGCGGGGTTATTTGTTTTCCTCACTTCCACACTGTTCTGTGTTGCCACTTCCTGGCTGTGACGGGGTGGCTGCATCTCCACGCCGGGCGTGGGATCCCTGCATACACAGCCCCCGGTGTGGCGCCCCGCCCCGCCCCAGAGGCAGCTGCACCCCAGTGAGCTGAGAACTCAGCCCCCTGCAAAGAGCCAGAAGGGCTCCCCAGGCGCCGCGCCGGCGAGTTCACAATGTTCCGGCGAAGCGCTAACCCCATGGGAGCGGCAGCAGCAGCTGCAGCCCCGCTGCCTGGGACAGCCCCGCGCTGAGTGGGCCAGGGGCAGCTCATTGTCACGCTCCTGCAGCTCCCAGCGCCCGGCCGTAACCCCGCTGGGGCCCTGATGGAGAGGCCGCCAATTTCCACCCAGCGCAGCCTGGCCCCCATCCCCACTGGACCAGCGCGGAACTTTGCTCCGCCATTGGCAACACTGAAGCCCGCTGGCTCCTTGGATGGAAAAGTGAGACCCAGCCCCCCCGCTTCCCCTCAGCTGCTGGCAGCCTGCATCTGTGCAGGGAATTGCACAATATTAACGGGGGCGGGGGGGGGGAGCAGGGCCAGCGAGCCGTGACATCACAGGGGGGACAAGGGACACCATGGGAGCAGCACAGCCATGATGGCTGCCGGCCTGCTGTTCTCTGTCTCACCCAGGAGAGTTTCAAATGCTGCCCAGCAGAGCACCCTCAGTGCCTACAGCCGGCAGCATGTGTTTCCAGTGGTGGTGCACATCTGCACATGCGTTGGTGCACCTAACAACATTTATTCTGCATGTGGGTGGGAAAAATCAACGGGAACACTGGCGTGATCCCCGTTGGGCTCCAGCCATCGTGGTGCAGCGGGTTCCCCAGCATTTGTGACTCTCAGGAATCCCACGCAACCTAGTTCAGACCCCTTTCCAAAATCAGGGTCCACCTCCTCGGGATCGCCCCATTGCTAGCTCGGGGGGCAGTTTCCCAAATTCCCCACTTGGAAGCAGCACCGGGGGCTGTTTCAGCCCCAAGGATGCTCAGGAGTGTGATCTCGTCAGACACAAGATGGGAGCAGTCGGGGAAAGACACATCCTAGAGCCCATGCCAGCCTGTCAGCCTGCTCCCTGCCTCGTATGGACCCCTGCCTCCATGAGCTCCCGTCTCCATGGGGCTGCTGCCTGGCGCCTCCGTTGCCAGCCACAAAAGAAGCAGCATTGCAAAGTCAGACTCCTCTGTATCAACAGCCCTCTGGGCTACAGGGATCTTGTTGTGAGCCGTATAGGGCATATAGCACATAGGTGCTGTTCTGACTCTGCCCAGAAGGGGGCAGACTCTCATGACCTCTTACACCCTGAGGGCATCACAGCAGCCAGATCAGCTCCAGCATGGGGAAAGTTCCCCACTGAGCTAAAAGAGCCTGACACGGTCTGTTATTCCCCTTCAAGTAAGACCTGCCTGACGCGTGCCAGCCAGCTCGGGGGCAGGGTAGGCTCAGGACTCCTGGGTCCTTTCTGCTGCTTTCTGAGCTCCCCGCCCCACCCCCGCCAACCAGCATCTCGCTCACGTTTCCGCCAGGCAGGCAAAATCGCCGACTCAGCAAAAGAAAAAAATAATCTCTGAGCGGAAAAAGCTCTTGTGGGTGAAGTTGGCGTGATGCAGACGGGGCCGGGGGCTCTGGGAACGGAGCGGGGGTGGGGAGGACAGAGGAAAGATGGAAGCTCTGTACCTGTTTGTCCCTTCTTCACCAGTCACGTGCAGCGCAATTTCCCCTCTCACCACAGAAGGATTCTGAGACCAGTTCCCAGGCTGGTATCAATGGGTGCAGCTGCTTTGGTGTCAATGGGCCTGATCCCTGGCTGGTGTCAATGGGCATTGCTGCACTGAGGTCAATGGGCCAGTGTCTAGGCTGGTATCAATGAGTGTAGCTGCTTTGGTGTCAATGGGCCTGATCCCTGGCTGGTGTCAATGGGTTCCATTGAACCTGGACTTCAAGTCAACAAGGGATTCTGCTCTACTCCCTGTCTTACTACTTTGTACCATGTAGCTGTTAAACAGCCCCAGGACAGCACCCCAGCAGCAGCTGCATCTCAGCCCCGGGTGGCAGACCCCTGAGTTTATAGAATTTAATGTACTTTGTGATTCTTGCTGACAGACTCCCTCTGGCTGTGAGCTGCATAGTCTGTGGCTCAGCAAGGTCACTACTCAGCCACGGTCGCATTTGTCCCAGAAGGCCCCTCCAGCCTCCCGCCCAGTGGCGAGAGGAGCCCAGCCAAGCCTGCGACCTGCGCGGTGTCTCAGAGCGCCCGGGCTGGCTCAGGTGCAGAAGGTGAGCAGTGCAGGGTGAAGCAGGTGGTGGTTAGGGACAGGAGCGGAGATATCCGGTACCGACCAGGCAGGGGAAGCGGCAGGATGTGGTTCTGGGGTCTGTGCGCTGCCTCGCGGAGCATGTGAAAACACCAGCTTAGCAAGCAGCTCT